AGGGTTTTGAAAAGTGAAAAATAACTGGAAAGTCCGTTTAAATATACTCCTCTCAGGCCCTCTTCGCGGACCGCATAAAAAGAACTGCGGCCGCAGAGCTCCACCGCAGACCGCATAAAAAGGACTGCGGTCGCGGAGCTCCACCACGGACCGCAAGAAATCGAGCGCGGCCGCGGAGGCTTGGCCTTGCTCACCGCGGACCGCACACATCCCACCGCGGACCGCGAGACCTGAGTTAAGAGACCTGCAATTTCTCTGAATTTGTAACTTTTTCCTAAGTTCAAAACTTGGTGAAACACATCTGAAACACACTCGAGCCCTCGGGGCTCCTAACCAAACACGCGTACTAACTCAACAACATCATACGAACTTATCCGTGCGATCAAATCGCCAAAATAACCTCAATAACAATGAATCAAACTTCAAAATCAAGAACCTTTTTATTCTTAAACTTCATCAAGTATCAAATTTAGCAATTTAAGTTCGAATCACGTCAAACGACGTCCATTTTCAACCAAACTCTACAGAAATGACTTAAACCATATATAAGACCTGTACCGGGCACCGGAACCAAAATTCGGGCCCGATACCTTCATGTTCTAATCAAATTTCATTTCAAATTTCTTTAAACAGTTTCAAAAAATAATTTCCTTTGAAAATTCATTTCTCGGGATCGGGACTCGGAATTCGATTCCGGGCATACGCCCAAGTCCCATATTTTCCTACGGACCCTCTGGGATCGTCAAATCATAGGTCCGGGTCCGTTTTTCCAAAATATTGACCGAAGTCAAATTAGCTCATTTTATAATCAAAACTTATCATTTTTCATAGATTATCGTATTTAAGCTTTCTAGCTATGCGCATGGGCGGCGCACGCAAATCTAGGTGACTCTAAATGAGGTTTTCAAGGCCTCAGAGACATAAAATTCAATTAAAAATAGGTGATGACCCTTTGGGTTTTCACACAATCCTTCCTTTATCACCATACTTGCTAGAATCATTGGGCCTGGTCGGAAGCACCACAGCAGTCCCTGCATCGCCAACTCCATCGATAAAGTAACTTACATTCGTTGGTTTGTGTCCCTTCCAGTCGAATCCATAGAGATCAGCACCTTCCATGTTCACGAAAGTCAAATTTGCTCCATAAACAACCACGTCCAATAGTTCATGATCTTTCTCGATGGCTTCATCGATCTTTAATTGCTCGTCAATGATCTCATTTTTAATTAACCTTGCTAAATCACTAGGATTAGCTTCTCTAATTGAATGATCAACCTTTACCACACCAATGACTTGATTGTTTCCTACAAGGTATTCTTTCTTTTCTTCACTCTTTTTACAAATGGCCACAACTTTGGGCTCGAGCCCATCTCTAATTCTATAACTTGATTGCCAAATAATAGCACATAGTGATTCAAATGGGCCTTGAATTTTTGTTCTTGATTGCAAATCGACCGATTTGGCCGAGTTGAGAGGCAAGGGCATCGCGGAGTAGTATTTCACCCTGTTTGAGGTAAGTAACCATTGTAATCTAGACATGAGGGTATGAATCCCCGATATTTCGTATTGTTTTGATAAATGAGGTGACACACATGCTAGGTGACGAGCGTGTGGGCGTGTACCGGTAGGGATTGTGACTTGATCAATTCCGTAACGACTATTAAGCTGCGTATTATATTTGAATCTTATGATATCCTATATTTTAGAGATTAATATATATATATATATATATANGAAATTGTTTGAGGTGAGTTCCCTCATTTTTACTGATATGCCCGAGTGGCCGTGAGGTTAATGACTGAGAGAGGTTTAGGACATAATGGTGAGGATTATATATCTATTATGAATCGGCCAACACGCCGCAGCGATATTATACATACATATATATGGATCGGGCTGCACGCTGCAGAGATATACATATGGATCGGGTTGCATGCCGCAGCGATATATATTGGATCGGGCTGCGCGCTGCAGCGATATGATGCTTGGGCTGTAGGAGTACCTCTGGAGTCTATACACCCCTAGTGAGCGTAGTCGACTATAAATTATGGATCGGGCTGCACGCCGCAGCAGTTATTATGCTTATTATTATTATGAGATATTATTGAGCTGGAGTGCTGAGTGTGAGTACTGTTTGACGAGAGCTGATTCACGAGTGACTGAAAGGCTTGTCGAGAGGCTATATTTACGAGTGATACCTTGCCCGAGGGGCTTGTTTATGACTTTTGTTGCTTTCACTCTTCTCTTATACTGAGCCTCTATTGAAAAATATTTAATAAATATTTTCAAAGGATTTTTAATCGAAAGTGAAGTTTTACGAGATGACTGGCCTTTAAATTGCAGAATTTGACTTGATATTCTGTTGAGACTTATTATATGATTTTAACTGCTCGTCACTGCACTCAGACCTTATTTACTTTAGTTACTTACTGAGTTGGCGTACATCCGTGCTTTCCTCCCTCCTATCTTAGTATTGTGTCTTTCAGACTTATTTTGTATTATTCAGACAGCGTTTTGGTTGTATTTAGAGGCTCATGATTAGTGACATCGGATTTGGGGCTGTGTTAGTGTATTTCATACTGTTTTTCGCATAATTCTGTTAGTTATATATTGCTTATAAAAGCTTGAGACTTAATTAGTTTTAGAAAATGATTTTTATAAAAGAAATTCGATGTGGTAAGTATTGGAATGGCTTGCCTAGTACAGTGATAAGCGCCATCACGACCGGGGCATTTGGGGTCATAACAAAAATCCCTCCACATGGATAGTATTTGACTCTTCAGGCGAGGGTACCACCACGTGCTTGTCAACCCAGTTGCAGTCCTCTTTAACTTGGTCGAGAAGGTCACTGGTGATCGTGCATATGTACCTCAACATTGGCTCGCATCGACCCACAAACGTGGGAGTCTTTTCGAACTTAAAGTCAGAGTCAAGGAAACACCCTCTAGGAACAAATTCTTCAGGGCGTGGCTCCGCTGCTAGTTGTTTGTTGGTAGATCGAGACGAGGAGGCGTTTTCTTTCTACGGAACGGTTTTAGATGTTTTTGCCATTTTATTTTTGTGAGTAAGGGAGAACAAAGATTGGGATATTTGGTGTTTTGAGAAGAACAAATAAAGAAACTCAAGAACTTGAAGGTAAGAGGTTTTGTAGAAGGCAAAGGAATATGAAGATTAGAATGAAAGAGATTGAAAGTAAAGTTTGGGAAAAAGAAGTAAGATACATTTATAGGTTGAAGACGACGGTTCAGAACTGGTAGTGGCCGACAACAACTAACAGGCATTTAATACTTCGACATCCAAACTGATGGGACATTTCTGTGACCACTTGTCGCTGACGTCATGGTCGAGCTCGTCGCTTATGTCATAGCCCATTGAGATGGGATTAGGAAATATCAAGTTGTTTCTTGTCATTAATCTCCAAAACATGAGGGGACTATCTGTATACGGTCAAAATGGGGCTTCCCTAAATTTGTATGGTTAAACGAAATCGGGGTGGCAGATAAATGCCCGGCCTCACATCGTGTCAAACCGTGGTACAGAGATGGATTGCTAAGCTCGTGAATCAATGACCGATCAAGATCGAGACCAACCGTGATCGGGATCGAAGCAAGAAAGAGATGAAGCGATATTGAAGGAAGCCTGCTAAGTCGAATAACGAAAATCTGAGATATCCTTGATCGGGCAAGAATCGTAGCGGAAATCTTGGCACGTATCGGGTCACGACTAGTTATTTAGTCAATCATAGGATTTCCTTCCATATTTAGAATTGTACCATAAGTAGAATTCCTCTACTATATAAAGGGGTTTCTAATCACTTTGTAACCATCATATATTCACGCATAACCAAGCAATAGATTACATTTTTTCTTTAGCAAGCTCTTTAGTTCAGTTCATACTTTTCAATAGCATACTCAGTTGGTTTGAGGGCGATTTAGCTCGAGGGCCAAAGTCGTTCATCATATTGGTTTGCTTTATTTTACTGTTAATTTCTAATGTTAATCCTCACATTTATCAGTTTATGCCAAGTGCATATCCTTAAAATCACTTATAAATTTAATTGTTATCCAATTTTAAGGGTAAACAACCTTTAAATTTTTATAATAAAAAGTAAGATATATCTTCCATTGTATTGATATTCTAATTACCATAGCGAGGGATGTTCAATTATAGATGAAAAAGGTAAGTAGTTGAGACTTTCAATGTTGTGTTTCTAAATTATAAAAAATTAGGAAATAACTTGGTTAATTAATCATTCGTTTGTGTTAGTTACCAAAATCAAGTACTTCCATAGGATTATACATTTGGGAAAATTCCATAACTATTTCTCACTATCTTTTGACATTTTAGCACTAAATCATATCTTCCATGGCCACTACAAAATTCTCCCTTCAGTCAATTTTGCTACTTTGCAGTTTGCATGGTTTTGTTTTCCTTGTTGGCTCTTCATCATTGTATGTCCATATTTATTTCAATATTTTAATTCATATATATATATATATATGTATATCTTTTTATATTTTTTCTTATTTTCACGAAATGCAGGTGATGAAAGTACAAGAGTTAAAGCTGAAATTACAGCCAATCCATGCATCGCAATTGTTGATCAAGGCGCACCACCTAAATGGTGTTGCACTGTGGATAAAGCATGTTATGTTTCTCCAGATACATGTCATGCTAGTTGTCCCTAATTAAGGATTAATTTTCAAGAAAATAATGTTAATTCGTATTGCTACTTTAGCTGATCTAGAATTAAAATAAAAGAAATCGATTATCATTAATAAAATTCAGTTTCAGTTATCGATATGTTCTTTAAATCCTTATCTAGATATATTTATCTTACATATTTTGTTTATTTGAAGCTCCACGTTTATACATTACTTTTCTCTCGACCGCAAAAATTTATGCATCTTATTTTAACGTTATAATCTATGTTACATTTTTTGTGACATTATTTTATCACCATAGAAATGTCATGGTATACTTGGACCATAAATTCCAAAAATATTTTATTTTTTCTAAAATTTCGTGTCAAGTCAAATAGATTTCATGTTAAAATAAAACGAAAGGAGCACTAATTAACAAAAAGATGCAGGAATATGTGCCGTCTTAATAGGAAGACGGCACATATTTTACAATGTATTATTACCTTTGTACTCTAATACAAATTAATAAAGTAACTCTAGCACCAAAATTTAAATAGATGTAAAGAAAACACCTAATGTTTATCCTTTGAATCTTTTGTTATTGGAGCAACGGAGAGTCGTAGAATTGTTGCGCTCATTATGCATTAAAAGATACTCTCTTTGTTTCAATTTAGATAACACATTTCACTTATCACGAGTCAATTTGACTAAACTTTGAAGTTAAATTAAATTAGTTCAACTTAATATTTTAAAATTTAAATTTAAATATTCAAAAACTAGACGAAAAGTACTATAACTTATAATTCTTCTCATATCAATAAGATAGCAAAATGTATTTTAAAATATTTGTCAAAATTCACATAGTTTGACTCGATAAGTGAAGTTGTCATCTAGGCTTGTTCATTTGGATCGGATATCCGAAATCCGAACCTATCCGCTCAATTTCGGATTTCGAATTTCGGATATTGGGATCGAATTTCGGATTATGTTTATTAAAATTTCGGATATTCGTATCGGATTTGGATTGATATAATTTTAACTCGATCCAATCCTTAGGGCACTAAACTTTAATTTCAGATAGTTAGTATTTCTTTTACATATTCCTCCAAGTTATTACCCTTACAATTGCTGGATTTAGCTATATTGGCACCATAGTACCCTCATAATTGCAGAAACATGAATTTTTCTTGTTGTATTGCCTCTTTTACAAAGAAAATATACGTATGAGTTTGCAACTTTGAGGTATAATAACTCGAACCTCGAGAACAATATTTTCTTAGAGATGCAATGCTGATAAAAGGGATGAAAAGCAAAGAGATGTTTGTATTAACACAGAACACAGAAGAAGCAGATAAGGCAGTTGCATTAGCCGATTAGATTAGCAATAGCCTTAATAATATGTATAATTCAATCTGAAATCCGAAATATTGATCTGATCCAAACATTAAAATCCGATCCGATATTAATTTGGATCGGATTCGGATTGCATTTTGTAGAATCCAAAATCCGAATCTGAAATGTGTTAAATCTGATCTGATCCGATCCATGCACAACCCTAGTGTCATCTAAAATGAAACTATGGGAATACTTATTATTTCATTGTCTTATATTTTCATCCAACTAATGTGCTATTCTCATCCTGAAATTTTGCAGAAACTTTTAATAATTGTTGATCCACCTCTCAAATTATTAGGGGATATAATTTTCAGCCATTTCGGGCATTGCAATAAGTGATTCTTAGAGTAATGAATCTGGGGGAATGCACAAATAGCCGTTTATAGGATGCCTATTTAAAAAATAATCGATTTTTACAACAAAAAAAAAAATTAAGTCTAGCTGCCTCGGAATAAAATTTAGACTTGCGCGAGACGAAATTAAAAATTGTGGGTCTAAAGTTTCAAACTTCAAATATATGGGTATAAAGTTGGGCCTGGAAAAAGCTAACTTCATAACCAAATACTTTAGTTTAAATTAAGTTCAAAATCAAACCTCAAAAAGTTATTTGACACAACCTAATTGTACAGTCATATCGCAATATAGAAGTCCCTATTAGCACTGCATAATTAATATCTAATTTTTCTATTTGCGAAGGAGGAAGAGGAAGAAGAAGAGGCGGAAGAGCAGGAGGAAGTGGGGAGGAGGTGGTCTAAGTTTGCGAACTCTGGTTAAAAATTAAATAACTTTTAAAAGGTGAATATGACTTAAAATAGAGGTTTTCAAAGAGGATATATAGTGCAATTCCTACGAATCTATGTTGTATAATACCAGATATTTGCTTATTTCTTAGCCCATATACCGTAGGTTGGACCTCATCTTTACACAAATAGCCGGTTGATTTTACTGTTTAGTTTTTTCTTGATGGTATACATAAATTAGCACTGATTATGCATGGTTATATACATATTATCATATATTTTACATTCAACGATAATTTTTAGTTTAAGTAAATGGGTTGGCTGCTATTTAGATTAATTCTTTTTAATACATGAAAGCATTTCAGCTCCCGGTAATGATATCAAGGATGCTTTGAAATATAATCAGCTTTTGCAAAGTCTTTGAAGAATATCTACAACTTTTAAGCAACAACATACTAAGGGCATATCAATTTCTTGTCAAACTTTTGCAATTTTACTTTTAAATCTTTATAGAAAGTAAGATAATATCTTCTATTGTATTAATATTCTAATTACCATAGTGAGGGGTGTTCAATTAAAGCATGAAAAAGGTAAGTTGTTAAGATTTTCAATGTTGTATTTCTAGCTAGATTATAAAAAATTAGGAAGTAACTTGGTAAATTAATAATTAGTTTGTGTTAATTAGCAAAATCAAGTACTTTCAGAAGGCTATATATTTGGAGAATTCCATAACTATTTCTCACTATCTTTTGACATTTTAGCACTAAATCATATCTTGAATTCCATGGCCACTACAAAATTCTCCCTTCAGTCAGTTTTGCTGCTTTGCATGGTTTTGTTTTCCATGTTGGCTCTTCATCATTGTATGTTCATATTAATTCCTCTGAAACTTCGTTTTTTTTAATTATTATTATTATTATTATTATTATTATTATTATTATTATTACTATTATTATTAGAATTAAAAAAACAATGGCAACAACATGAAATAGATTTTGTATGGTTATTTGTTGTTATCTTTTAGTTGATCTGACAGTGTAAAAATTCTTATTTCACGAAATACAGGTGACGAAAGTACAAGAGTTAAAGCAGAAGTTTTCGATCCATGCATCCAAGTTCCTGGTGTACCAGCCAAATGGTGTTGTGCGTGGGTTTCAGGATGCTATCCTTCTTATGACGAATGTCTTGCAAATTGTCACCATTGATTAATTTAAAAAAAAAATTGTTGCTGAATAAAATAAAAAGTTGCGATTATCATTAATAAAATTCAGTTTCAGTTATTGATACTTTAAACCATATATCTAGATCATATTTTTCTTACATATTCTGTTTGCCTGAAATGGAACATGTATATATTATTTCTCGCTCGACGTCGAGCCTTATACATTTTATATAACAAGTGTATAATCATCGTACACATCGATTATGTGCTGATTATATACTCTGTATTTTCTAAATTTGGTAAAAAAAACTAAATAAATAAAGATTAGGATTGTTTTCTATTATATGATTTGTTGGGAGTGGTTATTTTTTGTTTGCTTTAGCTCTAGAGGCAAAAGGGCTAATATATGTGTATTGTTTACTTGGTTAAATATTTTTTTTAATTTGATTTTGAAAAAAGGTTTAAAAGCACAACTTAAGTAATGTTGCAAACCAACAACTACTAACTCATATTCTCACATGTTTACAATTTTGGGCCCAATGCTTTTCAGAAGAAAGACACATGGGTAGTAACATTTCCAACACAATATATAGAGCAGAAATGACACAAGGTAGCCACTCTAAAGACTGCTATTTAAAAATTAGTCAGTGTGTCCTGAATTTCAGTTTTTCAGGACAAAAATATTCTGAATTGTCCTGAAGTTACGATTTGTATTTTAAAATTTTAGAACAAAATAAATACTGGTCAATCTCTAAATTGCATTACATACAACAGTTATTAAAAATAGTGTCTTTGGACCTCACACAAAATTCAACTATTGAACAAGAATGAAACAAACACATTTTAACTTCAAGCAATAGACCATTCCTTGTTTAGCTCAAATTTCAACTTCATTATCTCATCCTCGGGCAAAGTCATGGTCACAATCCTTCCTTCATCACCATCCTTGCTAGAATCATTGGGCCCGGCCGGAAGCACCACGACGGTCCCTGCATCGCCAACTCCATCGATAAGGTAACTTACATTCATCGGTTTGTGTCCCTTCCAGTCGAATCCATAGAGATCAGCACCTTCCATGTTCACGAAAGTCAAATTTGCTCCGTAAACAACCACATCCGATACTCCATGATCGTTCTCGATGGCTTCATCGATCTTTAATCGCTCGTCGATGATCTCATCTTTAATCAACCTTGCTAATTCACTAGGATTAGCTTCTCTAATTGAGTGATCAACCTTTACCACACCAATGACTTGATTGTTTCCTACAAGGCCTTCTTTCTTTTCTTCACTCTTTTTACAAATGGTCACAACTTTGGGCTCAGGCCCATCTCTAATTTTAGAAATGGACTGCCAAATAATAGCACATAGTGATTCAAATGGGCCTTTAATTTCTGTTCTTGATTGTATTTGGCTCAATTTGGAGGCAGTAACTTGGATTGAAAATGACTCCATTTTGCAACTATTGTTGGCAATCCAATGATCTTCAACTGGGCCGACCCGTTTTATTGAAAGTGGATCCTCCACAATCTTTTGCAGGGTTTGGGTTGAGTTTGCTTTGGTCAATGAATGGGCCAAGTTATTGGGCCGGGCTGGTTGGTATCCAACAACTACTTTTCCCAAAAAGTTAATAAATTCAGTGGCTGAGAATACGTCTCCAAGTACATGGGCCCAACTTAGGCCCAATGAAACTCCTCCACATTTGAATTTTGTTTGCTACATTGATAACCCAAGATATAAATGAGTCAACTATCAATTACAAACAAGAAAAGTTTAAAAAAAAAAGAAAAGAAAAGAAAAGAAAAGTAAATATGCTTACCTTTTCCTCAAAAAGTAATATAAAAATAAATGAAAAGGTAATAACTCATATAGCTAAACTGTTAAATTAAAAAATTAACATATTTCAAAAATTCCCTTAACCAATGTGGATGCCAACGTATAGATGGTCATGCAACATAACCAACTATAAAAATTGCCACATCATTTTATTCTTGTTATTCCTTTTAACAGCTTGTTTGGATAGTTGTTACCTATTATATTGTATCGTATTGTTACTTCAAGTATAATATTTGTTTTGATTGTTACTTAAATTTTATTGTATCATATCGTTTAAATTCGTCGTTACGTAACGACGAAAAGTGTCACTTTGTGGAATGACCGATTTGGTGTGGTTGCGTCATTTTCTTATTTTTTTCTCTTATCTTGCCCTCTTTTATTATTAAATAATTCTATTTTATCCTTTATCTACCTTTTTATATAATAATATTACTTCGTACCTTACTTTTTATTTATAATATTGCAAGTTTATTCTTCATATTGTTAGTGAATGACATCTTTGTAGCTAGGAAGGAGGCGAAGATGGCAGTGACGGAGGCTAAGACGACAACTTTTGCTCGTCTGTNATTGTTAGTGAATGACATCATGAAACGACGACAAATGATACATCTATCCAAATATTGTATAGATCAAAACGATATAGTACAATATAATACAATACTATATAATATATTATGAAACGATACATAACCACCATCCAAACAAGTTGTAAGTGTATTTGATTGTAATTCATATTATATGTTTTTCTATAATTAAGGATTTTTTGACTTAGAAAGTTTTGTTATCTATATATATTATTATGCCTACGAAATCGATTCTCGACAAATAGTTGATCTGGATTTATATAACATTAATGCATCATCTTATATTTTTTTAACAATTTCTATATTCTTTTAAAAAATATAATAATAGCGGTATTTTCTTGTTTAAATGGTACATTTACAGGTGCATTTATTAAAGCCTTGAGTTATCAAAGCAACTACCACAACTACCTCAACTAATTGAAATAATATCTGTCACCATATACAACCATACGATCTTTAATACGATAGGTAAATTATTGCCACTTGGTTGGACCTAATTAATTTCTTCTGGATATTTGAATTATTATACATATAATATGATATATTTGAAGCAAAAAGTTGGGTGTACAACGGAAGTGTGGTGGAATAATTATAATTCCTCAACCATAACTATATATTTTGAATTTAAACTCTTGATTTGGGCAAGCTTCAAAGAAGCGTTTTACCCATTAATTTAGTTAGTTTCATGTAATACAGTTTAACCTAATCGATTCAATGAATTTTGAATACCGAATGACTAAAATAAGTTGGGTATAAAGGAAGCATTGAAAGGAGATACGCATCTATCTAGTATTAGTAGACCAAGTTATTTGATACTTTTTGTTTTGTTTTGATAACCCTAGTGTCCAGATCAGCTTGCGTGCATTCCGACTAATTTCACAGAATATATGCCATCTCCCCCTTATACTTTATTAATCACTAGATCACACCCTTGGGTGCAGTTTTAGTAACTTTCCCTACGGATTCCTGGGTGTCCGATGTATCATCCTATGCAATATAAATTACACTCAAATCAAACATACTTTTTATTCTTTCGTTATGACTTTAGTAAAATTTTGTAATCCTAAATGTGTGGCTTATATAATCGGGAGTTCGGGATATTGAGGAATATCTAAAAAGACATATAAGAATCAACCTAATTTTATATTTTTTTCGTTCTGTTTGAATTTTGCTATAGTCAGAGGCGGATCTAGGATTTGAAGGTTATGGGTTCTTACTGTAATATCAAATTAATATAAAATAATAATTGAGTTCACAATTAGATATTTACAAATATTTAGAGGATTTCTTAATATAAATACATGGTCTAGGCAAGAGTTACTAGGTTCCCGGGAACCCATACTCAATGCTCTAGGTCCACCCCTGACTATAGCCTTAGAAAAATAAAAAAAATTCTCAAACATAAACACCCCCTCCAACAAGCTATCCCCTTTCTTTTGCCGCCAAGCAAGAGTAAAACAAAAATATAATGCTAGGTCTCGGGTTTGAATTATGAGAATGAAGAACTCTTTGGTGAGAAGATTTTATTTTCTTAATAGGCCTACCCGACACAAACCTGAATTAGTCGAGCCAGTGCGCATCGAATATTGTATAATTAAACTAGAAAGAAGCTAATTAATTTCAAGAAGGAGCAATACCTGTATGAGGATTGGAGGGGAGAAAGCCAACTCAGGACCAAGAACTTGATTAGAAACAAGTAATTTCTCAAGAGAAGCATCTTTCATTTCTAGCCATTCTTCCAAAGTCTTATCACATTGTGCTTCAATAAACCTAGCTCCACAATCATTGCATTTGATATATGGCCTCCCAGATTCTGCTCTCCTAAACCTACCAGCTGTCATATAAAAATGGTTAAAACATAAAAATATTGGCTCCTTAACTTGATATATGGTTACATCTTGAAATGCTTGGCTATTAAAGTAATAAATCCCTCTCAAATAGTGTAATTTCATGGCTACATCAATATTGCTTGGCTCATAAACTACATCTTGTCCTGTTACATTTGCTGGTCCAACTGAGGAAAACTTGATGTTGTAAATTAGACCAGCTTCTGATTTTGAAGACACCATTTTTTGAAATAATTTTTTTTTTCTCTTTTTGGGGTAATTTTGATTGGTTGGTTTTTTTCCGTTGGAAAGAAGAAGTTGAAGGATTGAAGATAATAGTAAGGGGGAAGTTTGTTGACTGTATGTGTGATCTTCTTGATTACAAAGCATATTTAAAGGGTTGGAGGTAGGGCTTATCATTCGGATCGGATATCCGAAATCCGAACCGATCCATTCAATTTTGAATTTCGGATTGGATCGGATTTCGGATTATGTTTATTAAAATTTCGGATTTCGGATTGGTATATTTTAATCCAATCCAATCCGAAATCCGAAATTATTAGGACATGTATAAATACTGCACTTTAATTTACATCAACCTCCAAGCTATTACCTTTACAATTGCTAGATTTAGCTGTATTGGCACCATAGTACTCTCATAATTGCATAAACATGGATTTTTCTTAATGTATTGCCTCTTTTACAAAGAAAATATACATCTTAGTTTAACTTTGAGGCATAATAATATGATCCGATATCCGATCCGATCCAAACTTTAAAATCCGATCCGATCCGATATAATTCGGATCGGATTCGGATTGCATTTTTTAGAATCCGAAATCCGAAATTCCAATCCGAAATATGCTAAATCCGATCCGATCCGATATAATTCGGATCGGATTCGGATTGCATTTTTTAGAATCCGAAATCCGAAATTCCAATCCGAAATATGCTAAATCCGATCCGATCCGATATAATTCGGATCGGATTCGGATTGCATTTTTTAGAATCCGAAATCCGAAATTCCAATCCGAAATATGCTAAATCCGATCCGATCCGATATAATTCGGATCGGATTCGGATTGCATTTTTTAGAATCCGAAATCCGAAATTCCAATCCGAAATATGCTAAATCCGATCCGATCTGATCCGTGCTCAGCCCTAGTTGGAGGTGAGATAATGGACTAGCCATAAATCACTTAGCTCATGCACAAATAAGGACATTTGCATAAATGACCCATTTTTTAGGCTGCTCTTGAAATTATGTTGCCCGTACACAAGGTAGGGGTAAGGTCACAGTATCTCTACTTCACACAAGGTAGGGGTAAGGTTTACGTACATCTCACCTTCCGCAGACCCTACTTGTGAAATCACACTGGTATGTTGTTGCTCTTGAAATTATGTTCCCCGTTAGCGTAATGGGCTAAATTTATATTACAATGAGTATGTTGTTACTGTTGTTCTTGAAATTATGTTCCCCGTCACCGCAATGGGCTAAATTTATCTGTAGAAGTTCATTAGACCGCTTTTAAAAGCTAAATTAGTCAGTTGGATTAAATATGGATAAAGTGACCTCAAAAAACTGTTGGGCTAAAACGGCCCAAAGTTACTCATAATATGGTGTGACATTATCCGCTTTGAGCCAAACCCGTACGATTTTCCCTAAAAGACCTCACACCATTAAGAGTATCCAACTTCTTATATGTAGAACTTTTTTCCTTTCTATTTTCTATGTGGGACTTTGTTCACACACCAAAAATCTTCCCCTTGAACTAAGTTCTACATGACCCATCACTATTCATGGGCTAATCTGAAAATTAACTGTGTATCATCCACATGAACATTTACAGTTAGCGAAACTCAAAGGCAGTGTGTGCGTCTTCAAAGTTATGGACAAAGGTCTTAAATCATGTAGACGGGCAAAGGCACTAAGTCGCCCCCCCCCCCC